TCCTAGTTTATCGCTATGCCATAATTTAATTACAAGGCTAATAAAGTTCCAATTGAAAAGATATCAGAAATTGTCTTCAGTCCAGCGAATCTTAGACGCTGTAGGGAACATCGGCTTACGTAAACGGAAGCATATGGAGGGAAATAGAGGAGTTAAGATAATTAGAAAACCTAATCATTTGATACTCTGTCTACACAATAGATGATGGCTGGTAGAGTAGGATGAGACAACTGAGGAGGATGAAAAGGAATAGAAGAAAGAGGATATGGTTTTAGAGATGGGTGAGGAAATGTGAGGAGGATAGTGTGCTAGAAGTAGGTGGGAAAGTGCTTTAAGGAAGAAGAGAAGGAAGATATGAAGATGGTGGGGAACAATGAGTAGGAGCAGGAGAATATGTGGTCAGATGTTGTTGAAGAAGTGTTAAGCTGAGGAAGGAGAGTATGAGGTCAAGGAGAAAGAGTAGAGGAAGATTAGGAGGAGTAAAAGGATATGGTGCTATATGCTGGTGAGGCAATGTGATGGGGAAGAGCAGAGAAGAATAAAGAGCCAAGGGAGAAGAATTATGGAATCCAAGAGCAAACACCAGCTTTAGTAATTTTATTTTAAACAGTTTGATGAATAGTGTCTAAGATAGCCGGAAATTCAAATATATCTGTCTATCAGAGGAAACTATTTAATTCCTACTTAAGCAAAACACGATGATATTTTAAACAGTATTTTATTGTATAAGAGATGTGAACAGTAGTCTATTCGATCTTATTTATGCTATTACGAACATTTCACCTAGTCACTAATCAGTTCCGCCCCAATGTGTCATTGAGCATTAAGGTCGGCGTCAGGTATGAAACGGGAAATAGCTGATACTTCTATTCGCCCGACTCGGACGATCGTGCAGCTACCAATTTGCCCCCAAGCAGGCCAGGCTTTGCTGGCAAACGGGGCGGCTGAACAACCGCCGCCATAGGCATCCGTCGCTGCCCAGCCCTGTCGGTAGACAAGGGAATGCAGAGGGTGGTGCCGTGGTGAAAAGGGGGGACGTAAATGTGAGGGCTTGTAGAGAAGTTAGAGTGAGCTGGACTGTCAAGGCTGGCGTAGAACGCCAGCTTCTTCTCACTGCCACGATCTCCTCAATCTCCTCACTCCCCTCACACTCTTTTGAGAGAGCCATTCCAACGGGCCACTCTCTACAATCCTGTACCATGATACGGGCCAGATGACACTTGCGTGAGTCCGGCCAATTAAAGCATGACACGGCCTAGCCCGAGATGTCAGGGGTGCGGTGCTCGGGTCTAGAATGAAACCAAGTGCCGCTTGACAAGAGCTTCTTTCCCTCTACTCAAACTTTCTATATGCATAGGTTTATATACTTACACACACAAACACACGCTTATATATATAGGGAGTTGGCGCTATATATAATGCATCGCGTCGTGCTCTATGTAAAATCTACATGATCTGCATTTGCTAGCATCGCCGGCGTTTTGCTTTGTCCCTGGCTTACCTGCACTTTCAAGTAGTCATTAATTACTAAATCACGTTTCAATCGGGGCATCTAGGCCTAATAACACGCAACGATATCGACTTGCCTCCAAGAGCCATGCCTTCTCCGCTGCCAGCACGAAGGGCTTCAAGACCCCCTTAGAGGTGGGACCACAATTGCATATGCATATAGACAACTTTTTCTGCGCTTGGACCTAAGCGTCAGGGCGTCTCAGTAAACCCTCCGTTGACCCGCTGCTATCTCTGCCAGTGGTTTCTATGGTAATCCAAAGTCACCAGACTGAAATGTCGAGGCGGCTTGACTTTGTTTCTGCAGCTCAACCAACCACCACTGTGCCCTGGGGCACCAAAGCGACCAGCAGGGAATGTCGTTCTTCCAATGATTTACCTATAGTTTTTAATGTTAACTTTCGCTTGAGGCATAACAAGTATAATTCTTTTAGATTCAGCATAACCCTAGAATTGACGATACCCAAATATTGCTGATAAATTGAATAAAATAATGCATTTTCCCACCTTTATTCTAATTTTTATTATGCCTACCCCTATGAGTTCATTTGTGTTTGCATCTGACAAATTTTACATACCTTAATTTCCTCTAGATTAAGCATTGAATATTAATTTTTGCCATTCCGGACTTATCAAAACTCATATTTGAATGGTCCCTTTTTGAGTGTATTCCTGCCTTGACTGTTGGAGAGAGATTTGCATATGCACACAGGAGATAGTAACTACTTCTCATCTCGTCTCGCAACTCTAAAATTTTCCCTCGCTGTTTCCAGCCTAGGTTTGCCCATGATTGTTTCTCGTTGATTCCGCTTTCGCATCAAATCTAAAGCATACATGCGTGCATGCACATACCGCACGGTATTGCATTGTAGAATTATACCTCATTCGGATTCACACATGCTTTTTCTCATTAAATGGCTTTGGGCACATGTGACCGCCAAGGGACCTGCATCCCATCTGGCTGGGTTCGTACTTTGTCGGAAGTGGATGCTCTACATCGGTCAAGCTGCCGGCCTCCTGACTGGCGGCAGCATGAAGGTACACTTGGGCTTTGGGCATGGGCATATGATAAAAATTGCTCTTTACTTGTCGATACTCGTAAATCGCATAGACGAGATTATGCAATACGATCCTTCGCCAGAATCCCCTCTGTACTTGGTCTATTTTTACGAGATCGAAACTAAGAGAGCATTGATTGTTTTCTCGGCCACCTACGCTCAACGGGCACGTTGACGTAGCGATGACTGACAAAGTTAGTCTGGTCCAATCTTAACATGAATTTAATAGAATAATTGTGAGTTTAGTAGCATTCCGCATACCATCGACAGAATAAACTTGCATGGAAATTATTCTTGTACTCTGTATGAGTAATTTTTGAGGATATCGATAAGACCTTTATAGGAACCTAGTCACCCTGAGTCGTTTAAGATGATTTAAGGACTGATAGGGGAGTTTTTACTGTAATTATGTGAGTAGGCTTGGCGCTTCCATTGAATTTCACATAGATTTTCTTTCCCAAAATGTATCATCATCCAGGGTGGACTGTAGTTTCGTCCTCGCCTATGTTTTATCAGCACCCCCAGCGGGACTCGAACCATGACAATGTAGATAATAAGCTCGACACGTTAACCGCTACTCAGACTGCCACGAGTGCCCTTGGGCCACATGGCAGATATGAATTTCTAGGAAAGCTAGGCATTTTCATATATAACATTCTATGTTGGGATTTTCGAAGAAACAATGTTATATTTGCTATAGCAATCGACTACAATACTTATTTTTCGTTTCAAGACTACTAATAGATCATACATATGAGATGTGTTCATCTTATTTTGGCTAGCATGATAAGGGGACTCCACCTCTAACCCACGGTACTGTACATCATGTTTACTCCCATTTTTGTCTCTTATATGTC